TCCCAATAGGTGATTAATAAAATTGCCTTTGACATGAATTGTTGCTATTTTCTTATAATAACAGTAGCTACCAATTTCTTAAACAATTCCTATGTGTTCAGTACTTTAAATGTTACCTCATTTAATCCTCACACTAAGCATAACATTGTATGAGGCAGAAACCACTATTTTTCAGATGATAAAACTGAAACCATAACTGCCCACAATCACACAACCATTAAGTAAAAAGACCAGCACCTGCACCCAGGTAGCCTGACTCCAAAGCCCAAGCACATCTGTTACACTATGGTCCTTTATCCTCAGGATCCACCTACCTGTTAATATATATCCCACACAATACCAAAGATATGTGAATGAAGAGCCTACACCCTTTAAAAATAATTCTCACATAACTACAGGTTCAGACAGAGTTCCACTGGCAAAGCTGCCTGTGAAAACCTGCCCTGGGAGATCTGCCCACACACTACACTAATTAATCTACTTTCATAAAAACCATGGGACTGATTTTGAGCTGTGCAGCATGAAATGTATGTTCAGTAGCATTGTTTTCACCAGAAAGCCATTCTAAATGAACCAGATGGGTTTATTTTTTAAGTTCTTCAGCTAATATCTCAAATTTTAAAATTTTCTCACCCTTACCAGAACATGATAAAAAAATAAAATACCCCATAGTCAAAGAAAGAAAGATAATAAAAGACAAAATAGATTTTAAATTCTGAAAAAATAGATTTTAAATTCTGAAAAAATAGGAAGTGAAGATGCTCCATTAAGTCTCCAAAGTTTAAGGCAAAAACTAAAAGCAAGTTATCAGAGGATATAGACACAGAGAGTACCTCATCCCAATACCTTAATGGAAAGTGGTACTGGCAACATTAAAATCTAACGGTGCCTCCAGCCAAAAGGCACTCACCAGGGGAGGCCCATGCAGAGTCCCCCCATTTTCAGCTAGCATTTTAGTTCAGTTTTTTTATTTAAATCAAATTTCCAAAACTAGTGAAAATTAATTCATTAATGGAGAGAAAGACTATGTTCTTTCTTATTTGAAGTAAATCTTGCTCCAGAAAACTAGTGAAAGTGTATAAATGAAATTTTCATATTATAGAAAGAGAAGGGAAATAAAATGGAGATTATTTCAATGACATCAGAATAATTCAATGCTTTCATATGCCTTAAGAGTTCTCATTTACAACTGGTGAATCCCAATGTTCTAAACTTTTTTTCCTAATTTGGCATGGAACTCCAGGGCAATTCTGCAGGGAGAAAGAGATAAAAAAAAAAAACAGACTAAGGAAGAGAAAAGGAGCCAGACTCACTCTCCACCCAATATTATAGACTGATTCCAAGCCAAGGGCTGCTCCATCTTCACTCCTCTGGTCTTTATTACCTGCTGAACTTTTCCAAATGCTTTATCAATTATGTTTATTACTAAAATAGCTCTATAGTTGATTTAACTGAGAGATGATGGTGATGATGCTACTGATGATGATAGTGGTGGCAGTGACATGAGATTGATACAAGTACTCTTGAGAATCTAAATCTTTAAAGAGACATTGGGGGCTGGGGTTGTGGCTCAGTGGTAGAGTACTTGTCGATCATGTGTGAGGCACTGAGTTTGATCCTCAGCACCACATAAATAAATAAATAAATAAAGTTATTATTATTTTTTTTTAAAAAAAAGCCTAGCACACACCTATAATCCCAGCAGCTCAGGAGGCTAAAACAGGAGGATCACAAGTTCAAAGCCAGCCTCAGCAATTTAGTGAGGCCCTAAGAAACTCAGCAAGACTCTGTCTCTAAATAACATATAAAAAAAGAGCTGGGGATGTGGTTCAGTGGTTAAGCACCCTGGGTTCAATTTCTAGTACCAAAAAAAAAAAAAAAAGACATTAATACACCTTTACAGAATTCCATAAAGTTTAGTAGAAACATTTTTTTCTTTAGGGCTACTTTTCACACACAAAAAAAAAAAAATTAGAAGAAAGGAAGAAAAACATAACCAGTCACCACTCCCCAATAAACGTAGGAGTAATCTATTTTTTAAAATGAATAATTGTAATGCAATCAATACTGTTGGCCTCAAGCATGGAAATGTAAATAAAATTTCCCCTATGTCTATCCATCAAATAATGAACTCTCCCCTGAAGAAAAGCCATATTTTTCTGCCTTTATTAAAGTACATTCAGCAATCTGAATCCATTAGTTATTACTATTTCTAATACAAATTAAACCCAAAATATATGTTGCTAATGGAAAAAAAAAACCCACCCCAGGGATTTCTAAAACTGTCCAGGACCATTGGAATTGCGGCACTCAAAATCAGTCCCTCTCCTTAACTCTGCTAAAAGATAAATCTCCATTAAAACCAGTCTTTGCTTGGAGGCCTGCAGAGAAAGCTGATGAAGCAATCAGATCTGAAATGCATTTGTTTGTGTTTACAGTAATGGGGGGAAATTACAAAACATGAATTTTATGAAGATCCAGACCCAGAAGACTTAAAAGTCCTCATTTATCTACAAATTGTTACATAAACAAAGGATGTAAGAAGTTAGATAAAGTAAAGGATGTTAAGGACAAGGAGGGAGAAATGACTTGATCCTTAAGTGCTAACATTTACAGGAAGCACCTGTTCTGAGAACAATACTCACAGCTCTGATAAAAGAATAACACTCTTGTTTGAAAGAGAGAGAATGCTCCTAGCAAGGAGAGTTTCAATGAAACTCTATGTTGACAGAGTCAAAAACTGCCCAAGAAAGAAGTAGCATTTTCCTTCTTTCCTTTTCAGAGATCCATTCTCTTCCTTGGACAGGGTTTTCCGGACCTAGTCTTGAGCACTTGTCCTTCCCAGGAATACATGAGGAACACTTCTCCCAAAAGAAAAAAAAATCTAAGAATAAAGTTTAAAACCAAGCCACAGTATCATGTACTCCCAGTGCAGGTACTGTTTGTTGTACAAGAAAGACTGATAAGGCCGGAGTTATAGCTCAGTAGTAGAGCACTTGCCAGCACGTGTGAGGCACTGGATTCGATCCTCAGCGCCACACATAAGTAATAAATAAATAAAGGCATTATGGCCAACTGCAACTAGAAATTTTTTTTTAAAGAGAGACTGATAAAGGACACTGCAGAAAAGATAACAGAGAAATTCTAGAATAAGCGTATGCAAGCAAAGACCAAAGTCCAAGCAAAGACCAAACATTTCTTAAAATCATCTGTTATTTTGTACCTCTGCACTGCAGTAAAACTGCCCAAATTATAATTTTTTAATGAATAAATAGCAAACATGGAACTATCTTCAGTATCACCCCTGTGATTTAATACTTCAATATTTTCTTTAGCCCTAGTATAAGACCAGGTTTCATTCATTTTCAGAAACAACAGTTCAGTAATCAAAAATGAGATCTGCCTCCAGTGAAGAAGGAAATGATGCTTTCTGCATCTTCTTCTTCAGTATTATTTCTAATAATATTAGCAGTTGTTCTGTATTGAGTACATAATAGGTATATTACATACTGATTTCAATTTCATAACTGCCTGGGGAAGTTGGCTTCATTATCTCCATTTTACAGATAAGCAAATGGATGCTCAGAGCAGTTAAATAAATTGCCCAGGATCAAAAAACTAGTATCAGAACAGTTCTAGAACTCAAACTCAGATGTTAAGACCTAACCTACACTTCCTCTCCAGAAAAACAAAGCCTACCACCTCTCTGAATTGCTCCTCTAAGTAACAAAGTGACCTGCCCCCCAACACACACACACTCCTCTCCTTGATTCTTAGACCAAATTTACCCACCCAGTGGGTCACCTTTCACTGGAGAAGAGATCCACAGATGTAGATAAACTTTTATCTCATTTGATGATAGTGCTAATTTCTCTATGCTGGTAGAGGATAAACGTTTATATAAAGAACTATTGTAGCTGGGTACAGTGGCGCACCCCTGAAATCCCAGTGACTCGGGAGGTTGAGGCAGGACAATCCTCAGCAACTTAGCAGGCCCTAAACAACGTGGCAAGACTGTATCTCAAAATAAAACATAAAAAGGCCTAGGGATTTGGCTCAGTGTTTAAGCACCCCTGGAAAGGAAGAAAGGAAGGAAGGAAGGAAGGAAAGGAGGGAGGGAGGGAGGGAGGGAGGGGAAAAGAAAAAGAAAGAAAGAAAGAACTGTAGAATCCCATCCATTCTTCACTATGTTCCCTTAAATTACTTTTTAAAGATAGTTCTTAACTTTATAGGAATTTAGTTAGTTGTGTTTATATTTGGGTGGCAGAATCATGGGTGATTTAGGTTTCTTTCTTTTACTTCCAGTATTAATCAAGTTGTAAGTACCAAGAATGTATTGCTCTTGCAACTAAGGAAAAAATACAGTAAGTGTACATTTTAAGTATTTAAGTATTAACCCCCTAAAATTATTTTTCCCTTATACTTATTATTTCCCTTTTTCTTAAAAAAGAAAACATTCACTGAGCCAATATGATCATGGGCCCCAGCCTCCTTTGCTGACTGAAAATGGACAGTGGTAGCATGACCCATTTCTAGGCCTACTCCAGAAAATCCTCTTATATGAGAGACTCTGTGCTCTTCCCCTACAAATTGGGGAGCCATGTTTTGATGATGATTGAGCTAAATATGGAAGGAACCTGGGTGTCTGAATCCCACTAGGAAGAGCATTCAGGAATGCCATTTTGGACTTTACATAAATAAAAATTAAATGTGTGTTATGGGGGTGCTGGGGTTGTGGCTCAGTGGTAGAGCACTTGCCTAGCATGTTTGAGGCACTCGGTTCGATTCTCAGCACCACATATAAATAAATGAATAAAATAAAAAGGTCCATTAACATCTAAAAAAATTTTAAAAATAAAAGATTGAGAGGGGTGCTAACAATTAAAAAAAAATGTGTTATGAAAGTCACTGTGAATTTGAGTTCCTCTGTTACACTACCTACTCCATGGCTTTATTAACATATTCCAATTTTTACTGCAGAAGGGTAAGAATCCACGCACCTTTTTCAAAGATTCCTTCTGCTTCCAGAACAGAGACAGTTAGGTTTGACATGGTCTTGAACACCTCCGCCTTGACAGTGACCTGTGAGGGGCTATGTTCCAGAAGCTCCACCCCAACAGTTATATTTCCTCCAGGCCTGATGATCCCTGGGGCTGTCACCAGAAAACGGGGCCTAAAGAGTTCCCAACAAGGGAAAAGACAAGTTTTTATCCTCACATCTTCATTCTTTTGTGACCCTACAATATCATAAAGAGTGAGACAGACTCTCCATACTGTCCTTATTGCAGTTTTACAATTAACGTTGCCCCACTGCTCCATTTAGCAATGCAGTTAAATCCTATGAAACAACAGTAATTCCCAAAACACTATTATAATGCAGTAATCCATGCATTACTATTAAAGGAAGGCTTGTTATTATTTCCATTTTATAAACCACAAAGAGCACAAGAGGAACTGAGATGTGAAAGGCTTACACTGGAGCATGCAGAACTTATAGGCAAGGTAGAAGCCTCCAAGTTTCTACTTTACAGATTAACTTCATCCCAGTGTGATTGCTTTTCTTGGCTTAAAAAAAAAAAAATGACTAGGATTTTGCCCGTTTCTTATTCAAACCTTTATACTTGGGCATACAGCCAAGGGAAAAAAAAAAAAAAAACATTGATTGAAATATACCATCTGAAAATAAACTACCAGTGGTGAAATTTCCGGGTAAAACAGAGGAAAAAAAAAAACACCTCACTAAGGTAGTTCATTATCTGCTAATTTGCTAAATCTACAGTTTAGGGATCAACTACGAAAATCTTTAGGAATGGGGCACTATTATCTTAAAGTTCTGATCTTTCTTATGAACACATACTTCAGGTACTTGAGCCCCACTTTGACAATGCCAAAGTTGAGACATCTTGTTTAGGAAAAAAATAATTATCCTGTCTTTGAGAGAAGGCAGCACATTAGTTGGAAGCAAAAGATTGAGAAGCAAAAGGCAGAGGCAACATGGGCTAAAAATAAAATTATTTTCTTTATAAAGTTGCTATAGCCATAAAGACGATTAAACATTTGGGTGGAGAACGCAATTGTCCCAGGAAGAGCCACCCTGCAGCGATAGGATCAAACATCCAGGCCAAGGTCGGGCTGGGGACTGCGACCGCGCAGCCGCTGCCACTTCCCGAAGCCCCGGCCCAGGCCCATCCGCGCCGCGCACCCTCCCCGCGCGCCCGCGCTCCTACCCGGGGCCCGCGGCCAGCGCGGCCGTGCACACGCAAAGAAGGTGGGCAGCGGTCAGGAGCGGCGAGCCTGGCATCTCGGCAGCGTCTGCTCGTGAGAAGGTCGGCTCCTGGGCAAATTCGCAGGCACTGCGGGGTGTGGCTTGTCACCTCCTCTCGAATTTTATCTCCTGACTCGAGTTTAGCAATCTGAAATGGGAGCGCCTAAAAGCGGAGTGAGAGATCTAAATTGAGACGGGACTAGGTGGCTCCACCCTTCCCACCCGCATTACAATGGCGCTTCTCTCAGCTTTGGCAAACTTCTCCAATCCAGGGGGTTAGAAAGCGGTCTCTAAATGCGGTCAGCCCAACCTGACCCCGCCATCCCTGCTCCCCGCGTAGACCTGAGGGCGCCCACTTCCCCGGCCCACCGGGTTCCTAGGGCTGTTTACACTAGCGCTCTACCAACGGTGCCCGGAGTGAATAAACAAGCCCATCCTTGTGAGGAGAAATTCATAGCAACTATGTGAAGTGGAAAAAAATCAATCATTGTCCTCCAGACTATGAGTCAGAATTTTAGAGAAATGCAGACGCGCGCGCGGGCGCCGGTATGCACGCCAAATGGGTACATTTGGAGGGTAGCTGTTTGATGTATAGGACTGGGAACAGAGAAAAACATTTTCTCCTTAAAACAAAAACTGAAGTATATTGCTTTCCTCGCCGAGAACGCGTTATGGTTTCTCCACTTTAAAGGAGGAGGGGGCAGTGTTGCTCAGTGGTAGAGCACTTGCCTAGCATGCGCGCGGCCCTGGGTGCCATGGGGGTTAAGGGGAGTGGTCCCCTGCCTCGTGCAACTCTGAGAAACAATTATCTGGGAAGAAGCTTTTATACTTACAACTCTCACTAAACATTTACTTCAGAAAGTATTCATAAGAACTGTAAAGCCTAGGGTAATTTGTCTAAACACAATTAGGGCCTGTTGGAATAAAGGCCAGTGGCCAGTGGTGGCGGTACTCAACAGTTATTGATCCCCATCTCTTCTCCTGGCTTGTCTGTAGTTCCTGCCCAGCCACCCTCTTTGGCACTGCCACCATCTTCAGATGACTCAGGTTTCACCATGACTACACCATAAAAGCAAGGAACTGCCAGAAACTGTTGGAAAACAGCACATTCAGTCCCTCACAACTTAAACTTTCTAATTCATGGAAAAGTTTTAGATGGTGAAATTTTAATATGGGGCAAAATGCAAACGGAAAAGAGGTCAGCAAAAGAATGTCTCATGGCACAGTTATGTGCTAAATAAAGGAGAAAGTAGCACCTAGACCAACTGTGGTTTTTGGAGTCCAGGAACTTGCTTTCCTCCCTTTCCTGTTCCACCCTTTCTCACCCAGCTGAACAGCCTGCAAGCATCCCTCATTCCTCTCCCAGGGCAGCCTATCTTTAGTGACTGACCTCCTGTGCATGCGGGACTTGGGTATGGCCAGAAGTGTCAGAAGCTGCCTGTTCCTGACATAGCTGTTACTGTAGGGCTGGCCTCACCTATGTTGTTCAGAGAGGAAGATCAAGTTCAAGTGTGGGCAAAGTGCCGTGGTCTAAATAGTGCTTCTCACTCTCTGATGTGTATGAGAATCACATTAAAATGCAGATGTTGATTCAGCGGTACAGGATGTGGACAGAGATTCCTGCTTCACATTAGCAGACAGTGGATCATGGAGATTCTACACATAGGGACAATTTGGGGGCACTCAAATGAGCAAATGAAGTTGAGATCATTAAGATAATTCTCAAGCTTCCCCACACACACCTTTTGTGGTGCTGGGGATTGAACCCAGGGCCTTGTGCGTATAAGGCCAGCACTCTATCAACTGAGATATATCCCCAGCCCCTCAAGCTTTCAATTCAGAACAGTAGACAGTAAATTCAGGCAAGCAAATATAAGCAGGACTCCAAAAGACTAGTTGATAATGTTGCATTACAAGAGGACCTACAGAAAGATTCAGAACCACCTACTTATTTTATGAAATTAAATCTGTGTAGATTTTGAACTGATGCACCTTCCCAGTTTATGCCTTCCTTCTCACAATGCACATTTTTTAAAATTTTTCTTTAGTTATAGATAGACACAATACTATTTTATTTACTTATTTTTATGTGGTACTGAGAATCAAACCCAGTGTCTCACACATGCCAAGCAAACGCTCCACCACTGAGCTACAACCCCAACCCCACCACAATGCACATTTGTTGAAAGTTTTAAACTTACAAAAATTTAGATGTTTGGGTTCGCATAAAGATGATGCTATTTCAAACTTGGTACAGAATAGCTACACAATTAAAAAAAAAGGTTAATTAAAAATGTTCATCTCAGAATTTTGGTTTTCTTAATTAATTAAAAAAAAAAACTTAAAATGGCCTGAACATCTAACAATAAGAGATTGGGTTAAATAAATGACTATATATCCATGTCATACTATACTCTGAAGTAATTAAAAATCATGGTGTTGAATTACAAATATTTATGATATATTATTGGGTGGGAAAAGTCTGTTGTTTTTTTTGTTTGTTTATTTGTTTGTTTTTTAAAGACAGAGAGAGAAAATTTTTTAATATTTATATTTTAGTTTTCAGTGGACACAACATCTTTTATTATTTTTTTTAATGTGGTGCTGAGGATCGAACCCAGCGCCCCACGCATGCCAGGCAAACGCGCTACCACTTGAGCCACATCCCCAGCCCTGGAAAAGTCTGTTTAATAAAATAGAATTTAAGTGGGATTTCATTTTCATAAAAATAAAGTATACATTCTCATTATAGTTATACATATTAAAGAAAGATTTGAAAGGTGTTCACCAAAATCTTATCAGAATCCTTGTGATTCCTGTATCTGCCATATTTCTGATGAAGAATATGTATTATTTTTCCTGTAGGAAGAAGAAAACAAAATGATGCTGCCTTAGTAAACAGTCTTTGAGGATGTATCCTAGAAACTCTTGAGTAAAATTCCTTTTTTTTTTTTTTTTGGTATTAGAGATCAAACCCAGGGATGCTTAACCACTAGCCACATCCCCAGCCCTTTTTATTATTTGATTTTGAGCAGGGTCTTGCTAAGTTGCTTAGGGCCTCACTAAGTTACTGAGACTGGTCTTGAACTTGCAATACCCCTGCCTCAGCTTCTCAAGTCACTGGGATTACAGGCATGCACTACCATGCCTGACAAGTTCATTAATTTTTAAATCAAAAATATTATGTGTGTTCTCCCATGAAAACTGAATTCTCTTCAAGATAACAACCCCACACTGTTCCCATGTCCCTTCAGAACTGTCTTTAGTTTGTGGCTCAGTGACAATGGCAGACTGTTTGAAATGAGACAGACAGATACTAAGAAATCCTTGGAGGTGGTAATGCAGACCATATAGATAATTTCCCAAAGTCACCATAGATCAGCCAAGGGATGAAAGCTAAATATAGATAACAACAAAGAAAAACTGATAGACGGGGCTAGGGTTGTGGCTCAGTGGTGGAGTACTTGCCTAGCATGTGTGAGGCACTGGATTCAATCCTCAGCACCACATAAAAATAACTACAACTAAAAAAATTTTTAAAAAAACTTATAGAGAACTGAAACTCAAGCCCCTCTTACCACTTCCAACTTCAATGTCATGGGTAACCTGCAGAGAAGCTGCATATGTGTTTGGGTCACAATTCAGACAAACTGAAGGAGGAGATCCTCAGAGAACTTCAGCAGCTGCAGGCCTGAACACCACCTCACAACCAAAAAGTGAGCTAGCACTTGCTACAGCAAGTGTTCGTACCTGCCTTGCTCTCTTCCTACCTTGATCTTTAGAGGGTAAAAAGATACATAGCTCTCCTTCACTTTTGGCTTCCAAATTCATGCAAAATGTCCTATGGCCAACATGATCTAAAAGCACAAGCAAAGGGAAATCTGAGAAGTTCAGCTCTGTCTTAGAGAAGATGGCACAATACAAAGCCACCAAAGTCCATGCCTCATCTCAAATTTTAAATTTTTAATTACAATGTTTCATCATGAGTAAAACACACATTTTTAACATTTCTGAACTTATAAATCAATGGCACTTGGCATCCACATATACCCCCTTAACGATTTAACTTCATAAAATAGAAAAATCATACTTTCACCTAATGTGATACAAATATCCCTTTTTTCTCAATTGTGTTGTTGTTTCTATTTAATCACAGGCCCTCTGAGTACCAAGAAATGCCCCCAGGGCTTTCCTGTATATTCCAGAAATTCTATCTCAGTGACTAGTGGCAACCCCTTATGATAAGGATCATTAATCACTCCAGCCAGTAGAGTAACCCCTTCTCTGGCTGTTGAGGCACTGTCAAGAGGAACCCCAAGTAGCCAGGTGGCAGTCTTAACTTTTGAATTTGACAGAACCATCATGGTGTCCCATAGTGGAAGCATTCCTGTCTTGGTACTGAGATCTCTTAAGAGCCCCATACTGCAGGAATGAGAAGCAAAAGTTTCACAAGTGGATCACTAGAGGTAATAGAGGAACCACTTACTTCCATCCCTTTCTTCTCACACCAGAGAAGTTGGCTTTAGGAGAAAAATATTCATTGCTGATTTTGAGCACATGCCACATTCTAGAATCTATTTTTTTTTATTTTTGCAGTTCAAATTTTTAAAATTTCAGAAATATTATGTATGGAATTAATGTCTACTTATATTCATCATGTATTTGAGATCCAGTTGGGAACTATTTATATAGATTTTTTTTTATCTAGGGGCAGAAGGAAGTTCCTGTCCACTGGAAGACAAGGAATGATTTTGAAATTAATAAGTGATAATAAATAGTGGTACATGGCCTTAACTTTCTATATGAGGGTTCAGAATTTGAAATTAGAATTCTGTACCCAACTAAAATATCAAGCAAAAACAAAGATGAGATAAAAACATTTTCAGAAACGGAATGGCTCAGAAACTTTGCTTTCTACATTTTTAAAAATTACTTTAGGAGGACATAGTGAACAAACCAAAGAAATAAGCCAAGAAAAAGGTAAAAGTATGTATAATCCCTGATAGTAATGAAGAAAGAATTTCTACTAGGAAGAACCCTGGGAGTAAGGTCCTGAGGGAAATAAAAAAAATCCTAATAGTATAGATATGCACAATGGAAAATTGAGACTGTGATAAAGTAAAATAGTGCAATAAAAGGGAAGG